TAGCTCTCTCAAGGAAAATAATTATAATAAGGTTAAGCGACAGATAGGACACGACTTGGAAAAATGGGGAAATTTGCAACTATCTTTAATTGGGAGAATTGCAACCATTAAGATGAATATTTTGCCTAGAATTTTATATCTATTCCAAACGATTCCGATAAAGCTAGATAAGGAATTCTTTATAGATTTGAATAAAATGATATTGAAATATATTTGGCAAGGGAAAAAGGCAAGAATAAAAATGAAGTTGTTACAAGATGCTAAAATGAGGGGTGGTTTTTGCCTACCTAACTTTATTATCAAGCAGCTAGTTTAATGTGGATTAAAGAATGGATATTATTAAGAAATGTTCGGTTGTTAAATTTGGAGGGACATGATCTGCTGTTGGGATGGCATGCCTTTTTGTGGTATAAAGGAACTAAAATGCAGGGGTATTTTAGAAGACATAAAATACGTGAAGCCTTATGGTTGAATTGGGAGAAGATAAAAAAAGAAAACTATCTGAAGAAATCCAGTCTGGGTATCTACAATTGAAGCATTTTCATATCCAGTGACGTTTAAAGGGAGACAAATTATAAATTATAAGAAATTATTGGATGAAAAGGGTGAACTTAAATCAAAGCAAGATATAGAAGATCAAGGGTATAAAATGAATTGGTTTTCATACTCGCAAATACTTTCTAGATATCGAGAAGATCTTAAACAAGAAGGTTTTTATAATGTACTGACTAATTTAGATAAGATTTTGATGGGTTCTGATGATCATGTAATTAAAAAGCTATATGGTTATTTGCTAGAGGTTAAACTGGAGGAGGAACAAGTTAAAGAATCAATGATAGCATGGGGGAAGAATTTTGGCTATGGTACTGATTTAGAGAAATGGCAAAAATTGTGATCGCATAATTATAAAATGACAATGTCTATAGCATATAAGGAGAATTTGTATAAGATGTTTTACAGGTGGCATCTATCCCCGTCGAGAATAGCCAGAATGTTCCAGAATAAGTCGGAGAAATGTTGGAAATGTCATCAGACCCCAGGATCCTACTACCACATATGGTGGTCATGCGCAGAAGCAAGGAGATATTGGACTAAGATACACACGTGGTTGGAAAGAATGATAAAGAGACATATTGACCTTAAACCAGAGATATTTTTATTAGGGATCATACCGGAGATATATAATAAAGAACTGCAATATTTAATTGTGAATCTTTTGACAGCAGCCAGAATTGTATTTGCTAAAAATTGGAAAGAAGAAAAGTTACCTAATGATGAAGAAATTATCAAGAAAATGATGGAATGTGCTGAGATGAGCAAATTGACATTTGAAATAAGAGAGCAGGAAGATAGACAATATTATTTGATATGGGATTTTTTTTATCAATGGATAGAGAATAAGAATTGGAAATAATTATGATATAAATGGACATTGAAGTTTCTGGAAATAAGTTAGCATGTTTAGTGATAAATTGAAGTGAGGAGGAGCACAAAAAATACCACCGACTGATACACTGTCTTTGATAGTATGGAATGATAATGTTTTTTGTATTCTGTCTTGTTTTTGTTTTTGAAAAATAAAAAAAAAATAATTTATGTCAACATATTTGCTTCTGGTTTTTACTCTCTCACCTGTTGTCATTTGTATACATGTTGTGTTATCTTCAGATACTGGTATAGCTCCTTTCACTTCAATATCCAACTCTTTTAACAACTGTATATACCAAGTGTTGGAAGAAAAATCTGGTCAGGTTCGAAGCCGGGAAAAAAGGCATTGGAAATAAAATGAAGGCTGATTGGAAAGGAGGATTCTGTTTACTGATGAGCAGAACCAACAACAGCATGTAGTTCTGGGACAGCCGACCCCTTGGTTTAGGAATGGGTGGATTTTTATAGGGTTCTGAGATGCTGCAGGGGGTTGTGCAATGTAGTGAGCCTTGTGCCTTTTGCTATTCTAATGGTGGTAGGTTAATCCTATTATGTCCTAAAGGTCATGTCCTGTTCTTAGAATTTGGGTGAGGGATGTAAATTTTAATCCCATCAACTCCAAAAAGTGGTGGGTTGCCCCCGGTTTGGACCAGTTCACAAGAACTGATAGTAAAACCGGCAGGAGGCTCCACCCACTGACCCGGACATCATCATAGGTGATCTGTGCATGCGCAGAAGAGTGCAGGTGTGCACAAGCAAAGCGAGCACGTGCATGTGGGTGCAATGTGAACCAGTACTAAAGGTAAGTAGAGCCCACCCTTGGCTCCAACCTTCTGTGTGTTTTGTTTATGAATAGAATGGCCCAGTCTTTCTTAATAACCACAAAATATCCATCTCTAAAGACTTTAGGCATGTACTGGAGGCTATTGAGAAAGGGACTGAGGCTGCTTTCTGCCTTTAAGAACATGTTTCTCCATTTCTCCTTTGGGGAAATATAATATTCCACCTCTTTTAATATTCTTTTAATAACCCCCAAAATATTTCAATCTCTAGGATGGGGTGTATGTGTGTGTGATTACTTCTTATACAAGTTATCTCTGAACACAACCGTCAACTTCAAAACGGACCAGGCCTGCCGTAGCCATCATTCCATTTTTCAGCTGCCACACAGTATGAGGGGGGGAGAAATTTGGAATGTCAGACCAGACAATAACAACACATCGTCCCATGGGAACCAAGGTCATCTCACCAGGTGCTGGCCAGGGACTGAGGGGAGTTACCAGAGAAACGCCAGAATGTCTAATTGGACAATTTGACCTGTGACAATTGGGGACGTAGCCATCTATTCTTTAATTGTGGTTGAAACCATGGGAAATAGTTAGAGTTGGTTTTGTTTTCATAGTGCCAATATGAAGTGGGAAATGAAGGGAAACTTCCACTCCACACTCACAACCAATCACAGTGCAGATTCAGACTAATCAACTATAACTGTGTTTTCTGGTTCACTGCATTACCCCACTCCAGCTACTTTATCCTATCTATCTATCTATCTATCTATCTATCTATCTATCTATCTATCTATCTATCCATTCTATCTACCTATTCTATCTATCTATTATTAATTTATCAATGTAGGCGCTCATGCCGAGGGTAGGAAAGGGACCATCTTTCTGGAGGGGGGAGCAAAAGGAAGGAAGCTGCCATATACCCTCCCCCCCATCACAAACTTTCTCAACCCAGCTACTTTGATAACTTTATAATGTCTCCCGCCTTCCATCTTCAGGATTTCTAGCGAATGTCAGGTCGCTGTGTAGAGGGAGAGAAGAAAAAGACTGGAAATAGAATTCAGTATTATTTTTACTCCAGAGACTCAAAATAATATTGACTTTTTCCCAATATGTGTACCATTGCAGCGGCATTGATCAAATAGGGTCTCCCTCTCTCTCTCTCTCATTTTTTCCAATAATTTTATTGAAGGTTGAAGTATGCAAATTAAACCAATACAGCTACACAATGCAGAAATACTTTCTTGAAGTTAAAAAAAAGTGCACAAAATGGAAAAAAGTTCCTCCTTCACTCCAAAAAATGCATATAGAAAGGTTAAATGCAAAACGTTTGGTAATTAAGCTACCCTGTTGTAGAAAGAGAAGACTGAGCAACATTCCTGGGTCAGCCAGAGTCAGTTTATTGCGCAGTTTCAGAACCAGATTTGTATCTGCAATTCTGAACAAAGGAAGAGTTCTGATACAACTGCTTTTATACATCTCCAAGACAAAGAATTCTGCTGGCACAGCAGTTTTCCATATATGGTTAACATACATTTGTTACATGATAATTGACACTTTTTAATTACTAAATTCATACCCTAATTTATAGTACATGAGATAATCTTAGCTAAACATCCTCCTCTTCTGTAATCACTGATGCATAGGCATCAGAGTTTCAGAAATTTCAGAGGCAGAAAAAAAAAACAAGGCACAGAGCTCACAACCAAGGAACCTGTTGCTAAAATTCACCTCTGGGAACAGCTGATTGGGAGTATTCCAGGAGGCTGATCCACCTGCCAATCAGTTTTTTCTTATTTTCCTCCCCAAAAACTAAGGTGTGTCTTATACTCCGAAAAATACAGTACCTGAATCTGAGTCAACGCTGTAAAAAACTTGGACCCAAGTACATAGGCCCTTTTCCAATTGTCCAAATTGTAAATCCAATGACAGTGGAATTGGAACTGCCAAAACCCCTCAGGCGCGCTCACCCAGTATTTCATTGCAGTATGTTGTGCCTTTCATTTAATAATTGTTAAGGACTATTAATCTTCATTAATATAGAGGCTGTATTTAATTACAGCCTGTTATTCCTTTTTGAAGATCTGCATGATTTTAGGGGTCTCTTCTTCTTAAACAAGGAAGAAGGCTTCTAAGGCAAGCTAAAATGACCTTCTTTCCTTCCGTCGCGAGCTGAAGACGTGGCTCTTTCGTCAACTCAACTGATCCGTTTGGGGGTACACTGTCATAATTTTAAACTGTTTTTAATAGGGTCGCTGATTTTAATGTTATTTCATTGTGATTTGTATTGGAATTTGTCATTTTGTAAGCCGCCTTGAGTCCCCAGGGAGAAAGGCGGCATATAAATCGCAATAATAAATAAATTAAATAAAATAAGAATATGGACTTTTTTAAAAAAAAATGGAGAAATTGAAGGGCAGAAATTTGTGGTTCTAGTTTATTTTTAATAATTTGTAGCTTGGTCTGCTTTGATGTGGGTGGCTAAAATTAAAACTTTCTGATTTTTATGATTCCTGATTGGTCTGCAATTCTTAAGTGACTTACAAAAAAACCCCTACTCTTTGACTAAAGAGGGCAGTAAGAGTTCACTGAAGATCTTTCCATACTCCATACATTCATAGCGCTTCTGTTCTGTGTGGATCTTATGACTTGCAAGTTCGATTTGTAGTAAAGCTCTTTCCACAATCCTTGCACTTACACATCTTCTCTTCTGTGTGGATTCTTTTAAGGGGAATAAGACCGTGGGTCTTAGCAAAGATCATTTCACATTCCATGCATTTACATGGCTTCTCCCGTGAGGATCCTTCTATGGGAAGTAAGCTTATTGCTCCAACTAAAAGTCTTTCCACATTCCATGCATTTAAATGGCTTCTCCCCTGTATGGATCCTATTATGGGAAGTAAGAGAAGTACTACAAGTGAAGCTCTTTCCACATTCCATGCATTTATAGGACTTCTCCCCCATGTGGAATCTCTTATGACGTCAAAGTTAACTGTTCTTAGTAAAGCTTTCCCCACACTCCATGCAACTGTATGTTTTTTCTGCTTAGTGGATCCTTCTATAGTAAGTTGACTGTTCTTAATAAAGTTCTTTCCACACTCCATACATCTATGTGGCTTCTCTCCTGCGTGGATCCTTTTTTGAGATGTATGGCACACATTTTTATGAGAAAGAGATAAGGTCCACTTGTAATTTTTACATTATCTATACATATATAATCATCTCCTTTGGTTTGGATTTGATAGGGTTTATTTATTTAGATCTAATTTGTTTTATGAATACTTTCATACATTTTCCCATATATGTATTTTTTTTATTTTTCCTTGCTGGGCCACAGCAGCTTTCATTGTTTCATTTCATTTCATTTCGTTGTATATATGTATAATTAATGCACAAACAGAAGATGAACTCCCCCATCAAAATCCTTCCAATTTTTTTTCCCTATTAGCAATTGTTAGGGCTTTTTAAAATTATGGTATAGTAAATATATAGAAAGACAACATTTGTTTTTCCCACAAAAATTTTTATTAGACACATTTAAACTTAATTGTAAAATTAATGCTAACCTCACCTTGCTTATTTTACTGTCTTCCTATTACTACAGCTTTGTAACTATTTCTATCTTACTTGATCGATATATTTCTATCTTCTTTCTCTATGTTTGTATATCCAAACCCTGTTCACTCCTCAGTTTGTCAAAGGGTCCCAAAGTTAGTTTTTCACAAGGCAACGGGACTTTCTATTTTCTTCAAGATGTTTCTCTTCTTATCCTGTTCTGCCCCAGCTATGGACCCCAAAGAATGCAGCACACACAAAGTCTGTACGAAACTTAATTTACTAAAATAACTCAGTATTTTTCAAAGGCTGTTAATAAACTTTCTTAACAACCTACAAGAATCCTAAGATAAGGTGGTCACAATCTTACTAGAGTTGGCAGAAAGCCCAGAAGCAATTTTGCAGAGAATCCAAACACGAAGGAGAATGAACTGAAGTTGTTCCCTACAGCTTGCTGCAATCGGTGTTCCTCCTTAAATAGGCTAAGGGAGTGGCCAATTAGCCCCAAGTCTTACTCTAGAGGAAACCTCCTCCTGAAGAGCCACTCCTGTCTTTTGGCAGCTCTGCGCGCCTGTGCATTGAGAAAAGGCTCCTCCTCTTCATCCTCTTCACTTAAAGGAGCTTCTGGAGGTTCTGAAGGTCCTGGCTGAATCCCTGCCTCTGGCACCACATCTTCTCCAGCCTCCTCACTGTCCAAATCGAGCGCCAGCTGCACAGGCTGCTGGCGCAGCACCACACCAGCCTCCTCGTTGTCGGAATCAGCTACAATCTGCACAGGCCGCTGACGGGCCACAACATATCCAAAAAGCATCTTCACATCTGAAGATGCTTCTTGGACGAGAAGCGAAATGTTTCTCGTCTTCTCGTCTTTCTGACTTTTCGTGAGGAATTCTTTATCCTGAAACTTTCTTCATACTCGAATTAATATCTGTGTGATTATTCTCTCATAACATGAGAAGCCTTTGACAGAAAAAAATTTGGGCTTTCTTATGATCCAATAGAAAGTGGGATAAATATGAAGAAAAAAGATGCTTTTACTTATTTGGAATGCCATTGCTGACTTTCAAATGAAAGTAGCTACAAAAATCCACTGTTCCTAATTACAACACAACATGCCTAGCATTTGGGTTCCATTAGTAAAATCATTTCTCTTGGGCTTCAAGTTGTGAAGATCAGACTCAAAAAAACCCTTTCCTAATTCAGTAAATGTAATTAGGAAATGCATATATTTCAAAAACTAAAACATAACATTTTAACAGATTCTCACCCAAATTTATTTATATATGGAAATACTGCCATTGGTCATCTTGAAGCTTTTCCCGGATTTCAGATTTCTACATTGTATGGGTCCTTTTATGGTACTTAAGATAACTGTTCATAATAAAACCTTTTCAACACAACATACATTTATAAGGCTTCTCCCGTGTGGATCCTTTTATGGTGATTAAGATACGTCTTCGTAGAAAAACTTTTGCCATATTCCATACATTTATAAGAGTTCTCTCCTGTGTGGCTATTTTTATGGGATTTAAGATTACTAGACTCAGTAAAGCATTTTCCACACTCCATACATTTATATGGCTTCTCCCCTGTATGGATCCTACTATGGTAAATAAGTTGACAGTTCTTAATAAAGCTCTTTCCACACTCCATGCATTTATATGGCTTCTCCCCTGAATGGATCCTACTATGGTAAGTGAGTTCAGAGTTTTTAATAAAGCTCTTTCCACACTCCATACATTTATATGGCTTCTCCCCTGTATGGATCCTACTATGGTAAATAAGTTCACAGTTCTTAATAAAGCTCTTTCCACACTCTATGCATTTATGCGGCTTCTCCCCCGTGTGGATCATTTTATGGAGAAAAAGGTCACTGCTCCTAGGGAAGCTCTTTCCACATTCCATACATTTATAAGGCTTCTCTCCTGTGTGGATCCTTTTATGAAGATTAAGAGAAGAACTGTGGGAGAAGCTCTTTCCACACTCTGTGCACTTATATGGCTTCTCCCCTGTATGGATCCAGTAATGGGAAGTAAGAGAATTACTATGAGAGAAGGTCTTTCCACACTCCATGCATTTATAGGGTTTCTCTCCTGTATGGATCCGTTTATGACGTGCAAGTTTACTATTTTCAGTAAAACCTTTACCACACTCAATGCATTTATATATCTTCTCTGCTTTGTGGGTCCTTTTATGGGAAGTAAGACTGTTCCTCCAACTAAAGCTCTTTCCACACTCCGTGCATTTATATGGCTTTTCTGTTGTGTGGATCCGGGAATGAGAAGTAAGAGAAGTACTATAAGGGAAGCTCTTTCCACACTCCATGCATTTATAGGGCTTCTCTCCTGTGTGGATTCGTTTATGAAGAGTAAGAGAAGAACTGTGGGAGTAGCTCTTTCCACACTCTGTGCACTTATATGGCTTCTCCCCTGTATGGATCCTACTATGGTAAGTAAGTTCACAGTTCTTAATAAAGCTCTTTCCACACTCCATGCATTTATGTAGCCATTCCCCTGTGTGGCTCTTTGTATGGAAAACAAGGCCACTGCTGCTACGGAAGCTCTTTCCACATTCCATACATTTATACTTCTCACCTGTGTGGATTCGTTTATGAAGAGTAAGAGAAGAACTGTGGGAGAAGCTCTTTCCACACTCTGTGCACTTATATGGCTTCTCCCCTGTATGGATCCGAGAATGGGAAGTAAGAGAATAACTAAAAGTGAAGCTCTTTCCACACTCCATGCATTTATACGGTTTCTCTCCTGTGTGGATCTGTTTATGACGTGCAAGTTGACTGTTTTCAGGAAAACCTTTACCACACTCCATGCATTTATATCTTTTCTCTGCTTCATGTTGACTGTCCTTAATAAAGCTCTTTCCACACTCCATGCATTTATGTGGCTTCTCCCCTACACAGGTTATTTTCTGAGATGTACAGGACCCATTTTTATGAGGAAGAGACAGGGTCCATTTCTTATTTCTTCCATTGTTTCTACATATAAAATCTCCTTTGATTTGGGTTTGACGGTGTTTATCTACATCTGTTTTGTTTATGAATACTTTCATGCATTTTCCAATATATTTCTTTTTTATTCTTCCTTGCTGGGCCACAGAGGCTTTTATTGCTGCTTGAACAGAAGGCGAAGTTTCCTGATTCCAATTATTTGAGTGGTTTCTTTCATGGTTTTCTACTTCTATTAGAATTGTAGGGTTCTTCATACTGTATGAACGACTGATCATTTGGAATAGTTCTCTGGAATCTTCATCTTCCTCCCCATTATTACCTTCACAAGATAAGAAAAATGCAAATAATGTTAGGGACAAAGAGCAAAGCAGGGGAAGATGGAATATAAAGAAAAAACAAACAGCTTCAATCTTCTTAGATGAAGAGCAGCTCTTCAAGTATTTGATCTGGACTTGCTTGATTAAAATTTTGGAAGATACATCTAGGTTTCTCTGCCAAGGGAATATCCATTGATTAAACATCAAATGCTCCAAATTTCAAAGGAAATGGAAAGATTTGGTTTCTCAATTTGAAATTCAATTTTGCATTCTGCTGTGCGGTTTGTATAAGAAGTGGGAGTTGCTCAGAAATAAGAGAATTTTAGAACTAGGAAGGCATGACAGTAGTTTGGATGTCATGGATATTTGTCATATGATAAATTTAGGATCAATCTAGATTTTCAAACCATAACATTACAAATCCCAAATTGAGAATATGATACAGATATAAACTCATTCTGTGCCCAAAAACATCCTAATGGATTTCAGAAAAAAAAAAAAGCTGCAAGGAAAGACAATGCATAACATGTAGAGAAGCATTAGAACTTGAGCTTTGGAAATACCGAATGAAGTCAAGAACGGAAGAACAAAATAGTTCTCATATTATCAGAAACATTATAGGTAGATGAAGGGAACTATAGCATTCAACAACATAAAACCGAATTTGAATCTCAGTTGTGTACAAAAGAATATGTAATGGCTAAAACCTCTAAACCGACTGAAGAATATGAAAATCAATAGAAAAATATTCAAAAGTGTATAAATGTAACTCAAACTATTATTGGAAATGTGGACAAGATAAAGGATCCTTTTGTAATGCTTTGGTGGCCTTGTAAAAAAGCTGGAAAACTTTGGATTCAAAGGCATTCACTGACACAGGGAACTTCAACTGAAATCAGAACACTTTATGCTGGCACTAATCAACAGTCATAGAAGATTGTTTCTGAGTATGATAACCGTAGTCTGAGTATTACAAACAAAAAGCTAGAAGGATTCTACATTAATTAGAATGGTGGAATAGTTGAAGAAGATGATAGAATTCTCCATGATGACTAAATTGACTCTGATCAGGGAAAGGATAATAACTATATTTATTAGTGATTGGAAACCCTGATGGACTTTTGGTTGAAAAAAAGAAAAAATAAGCTTGTAATCAAATTTATGTTTGAAGATGAGAAAGGATAAATTATGTAAAGGAGGAAACAATGATGTAACCTTAGAAAGAGGGGGAAAATATAACTATTGTCAGGTTTTCAGGCTTTCTTCAAATAAATTGCATCGCTAAGTCTTTTATAAAACAAACTTCCATTTTATTAAGCACAGGATTTTTTACACCGACTCGTTGCAGCCCGGATCTACGGACTTTCCGCCGTGCTCTTAAGATTCTCCTATTCCAGCAAGCCGGCCTGGCCTAATTTTCTCCCCTGTTTTAAAATTTTTTAAATCGAAATTTTAATCTGTTTTAAATTATTGGGAATTTTTAATTGTCTCGGGCTAAATTATTTAATCTGGTTTTAATTATGTCATTTAACTTTTGTATCTATGTGTTTTATTTTGTGCCTGTTCACCGCCCTGAGTCCTTCAGGAGTAGGGCGATATATAAATCTAATAAAAGAAAGAAAAGAAAGAAAGAAGCCGGCACTGACGTGCCGACCCAAAATCCCTCCTCTTCCTTCCCCCACTCCTCTGCATTCATTGGCCATCTTCCCAATCATTCACCCCTAATCTACTGCTCCAATTCAAAGAATTTCCCCCCTCCCATTCATCTCCTAGGGGACATTATCTCCAGAGGAAATAAGTAGGTGAAAGACAACCGTCCCATTGCAGACGCCTGCGTTCTCCTTCTTACGTCAGCACTAGGATAAATGCATCTTGACGTGCTGACAACTATTACTTTGTCTTTTCTGTGCGTTTAATTTTATCATACTTCTTTCTTATTCATTAATCACCTTACACTATCTTTTTTTCTTTTCAAAATTTGTACTTTTTATTCTGATAAAAATTCCTGTATATTCTCACCCAAAGAGGCCACGTTTCTATGATTTTCCAGCATGACTTCCCGATACAGTGCTTTTTCGTCAGCATCCAGCTGAGACCACTCCTTTTCGGAGAAATACACAGCCACCTCCTTAAAGGACACGAGACCTTCCTGCATGTGAAGGAAACAGAAGAAAAATCAGCAGTGAAAAGAAGCAATCCCACTCTTTGTCTGGGTCTGTCTGTCTGTCTATCCCCATGCATCTACAAGACTTTCAGCATCTGGAGAGAATCAACTGGTATGGGCCATGGAAATCCCACCCATCACTCACTCCAATCCACCCAGTGGTTGTAGAAGAAAGTGTGTGTGTGTGTGTCTGTGTGTGTGTGTGTGTGTGTGTGTGTGTGTGTGTGTTGTATTATCCCTCTCTTACTTTTCGAGCTTCAACCAGAATTTCAGCACCACCGTAAAAAGGAGTCAAATTTGTTCTATTCTTCCCTGTGAGGGAGACAAACATTTTAAATGGATAATTAACAAAATAGCAGGAGGCATTCTACAGAAGAAAAGAGATACAGAAGGTAAGACAGCGGGAATCTCTCTTGGGAATGGGTGGACTTTTGATTACCATCTGAGATGTCCTCATTTGCGGATTCATGATAGACCCTTCTGGAAAACAACTCCCGAGGGGGATTTGATGGATTCCTTTTTCTCATAGGTTCTCTGGTCTGCAGCGTGAAAGACTTGAAATAGGAGGGAGGAGAAAAGAAAAATGCATCACACAACATGGAGTGGATTCTTCTTCTCAAAAAACAACTTCAATGCCCCAATATCCATCAATGAGCCTAGAATGTGCAAGAAAGGAATGGCTGTTTCCAGTCTATGCTCTAGAACGGATAATGAAACAATGTCCTGCAAGAACTAGTGGAACATCTTAAAATATTATGAAGACCAGAGAAGTATGGAAGGGAGGGGTGAGGAATTCAAACACATTCTTTATTCCCTTCCAGACTTCCAAGATGAAGATCTCTCACCTGCAATTCGACTTGCTCCTTCTGCTCCTCTCTCTGACTCAGGAGGAAGCCTTCCGCCAGGGCCACCGCTTGGGAGCTGGTCTCTGCTCCACACTCCCGCACCCAGCTCTTCATCGGCAGGGGCAAAAGGGCCAGGAGCTGCTCCAGAACAACCAGGTCCAACATGTGGGTTTTAGTGTGGTTTTGTAGTCCCAGCCATTGATTATAAAAGTTGTGGAGTTGGCTGCAAAGTCCTCGGGGACCTTCCGCCTCCTGGTATTGGATGTTTCTGAAGCTGCATGTCTGAATCTCTGAACGGATGATGGTTTCCTTCTCCAGGATCTTCTGCTCAGTTCTTGCCCAGGTCTCCTCACAGCTAACAGGCTGAACAGCTGAGAGGCCTTTTCCAGTTCCCTCACTTGCTAACACTTCTTTCTGCATCCTTTCTCTGTCCTGTAAGGACAATCCAAATAGGTCTGAGAAATCTTGTTGATCTCCAAACAGCTTTCAATTCATAGGACGATTCCTGGAGCTGCAGGACTGACCTCAAAGGCTATCCAGGCCTGTTCGCCCAAGAGTTAACTTTTTTTTGTTAGGAAGTTTGTCGAGATGACTCTAGTTTCTGCATCTGAGATGGAAAAGGAAATAAATTCAAAGAATGAGAAATTAATGGCTTTAGCACCTGAACAACATTCATCCTCATAGAAGAGAGTTTTTCCCTAAGCTGGTAAAGGATTGCAATGGCATTGGACAAACAAATCTTCTGAAGTCTGTCTGTACATGAAGTGTGGTGCGAAATATGGTCGTACTTTTCATCCAGAACTTGGAATATAAAACAAATGTTTCATTTTTGGATTATTTTCTCCCCCCCCCCCAGGGGAGGCTAGCTTTTTTTTCAAATTTAAGATCTGTATTTACCTTATTATTTACCAAATAATTCCCTCAACACTGTCAAACTATTTACTAATTCTGCACCACTATTAATCTTCTCATCGTTCCTATCACTCATCTCCTCCCACTTATGACTGTATGACTGTAACCTTGTTGCTGGTATCCTTAAGATTTATATTGACTGTTTCCTAATATGATTTGATTGCTTATTTGTACCCTATGAATATAATTATGTGTTGTACCTTATGATTAACTAATGTATCTTCTCTTTTATATACACTGAGAGCATATGCAGCAAGACAAATTCCTTGTGTGTCCAATCACACTTGGCCAACAAAGAATTCTATTCTATCTATCCTATTCTTACACTTGGGGTTCATACAAGATGCTGAAACTCAAAGAGCTTAAGAAACCGGAATGGAATACAGAATTTTTACATGTTTTTCTTGTCCTTCATATTGAGGTGTTTAGGTATTAAGACGTTCATTAAAGATGTTCCTCATTCTTGTCTTAAAGTTGGTATGTTTGTAAGTAACTGGAGCCATGGAGAAGAGATAAGGAGGAAGTTCCAAAACTGGCTTATCCCAAGAAAGAAAAGTTTAGCTTTTGTCAGGGGTCACAGAGAGGAAAACGAAGAAGACCCCCTAATATTGAATAATACTAAGTGAAATTATCCAGGGAAGGAACAGCATTCTAAGGATGCCATGAAGATTGAATTCACACCAAATGAAATTGCCCACTTTCTGTTTTTCAGGGTTTGCTCTTGGGGAACAAGGATGGCTTTGTGAATGAAGGCTGGTTCACACAATTTGCCCTGAGCCCAAAGTGGTTAACCAACAAAGTTCACATGAAACACAGGGATTGAAAGAACATACCTTAAAATGGTTTTTCACCCATCCTTTTAAGCCTGGAGGATTTGACCTTAGTTTATTCTTTGTCTCCGGAAAAAGCACAAACGATTTGCAGCTTATATATGCAAAATGGAAAACCAAAGAAAGTACCAGAAAAAAAGGGTGACTAAGTTAACTAGCGAGAATCCATCTGCAAAGAAAAAATAACCAGAAGAAAATCTTATAAAAGCACTAATGTCAGGGAAGAAAGTAGAGAATCTTATTAGTTAATTTGACTTTTGTGCAGCTGGGGCATTTTCTGGTACATTCCTCTTCATCAACTTCTATCAGGCTCAAAATACTGGATAAATACATTTACAATATGTTTTGGATTTCTATTTCCTAGTTTATTCATTCCAACATGATCTTCTGAATGGTGGACAAATTAAAAGGTGTGGATTTTAACTCCCAGACTTTAAAGAAGATGGAGAAACAGCGGCCTCATCGGGCACACGGTGCGAATGCTGCGGCTCAGCCCCACTTTTGCAGTTCTGTCGCCCCTGCAAGGTCTCTCTTCTTTTCCTTTGTGGTCGTGGGGAAAGGAAAGGCTGGGAAGCAGCACTCCAGTCCCAGTCCTCGCACATCCGTCCTTGCACCCAGAGCCAGCAGGGGGGCTTCCAGGCTGCCTCCACTCCCCCAATAAATGGGGAGAAACGCCCCCTCCCCTTCTGGCGACCCCCATTTCTCTCCTTTGCTCCCCCCCCAACTCCATGGAACCTGCATGGGAAAGGGCGGCAGTGGAACATGGGACTCCGGAGGAAAACGTGGCATTCTCAACGCATCCCTCCAGCGCGGGACCTCTTTGCACGGGCAGAGCCACCACTCATGGTTCTCTGGGATCTCCCGCCTCTGCGCCTCCCACTCACAGCAGACGGAGGAGGCAGAAAGGGGAACGCACCTCACCCGACGAACTCCAGGCAAAAAGGTCGGCGCATGCTCAGTTCCCACATGAGTCTGAAAGCGCCCCCTGGTGGATTCTGCTCAAGTTGCCAGGAATCCCTGAAAGGGCGGGAAAAAGGGGCATATTTGGAGGAATGGGAATGGGAACGGGAACAGAACAGAACAGAACAGAACAGAACAGAATAGAATAGAATTCTTTATTGGCCAAGTGTGACACAAGGAATTTGTCTTTGGTGCACATAAAAGAAAAGATACCTTCATCAAGAATCATAAGCAGTGGTGGGATTCAGCCAGTTTGCACCACTTCCGGAGAACCGGTTGTTAACTTTCGGAGCAGTTTGGTGAACTGGTTGTGGGAAGAAATCATTAGGGCAGAGAACCGGTTGTTAAATTATTTGAATCCCACCACTGATCATATGGTACAACACTTACTGATAGTTATAGGGTACAAATAAGCAATCAGGAAATAATATCAATATAAATTGTAAGGATACAAGCAACAAAGTTACAGTCATACAGTCATAAATGGGAGGAGATGGGTTGTGGGAATGATGAGAAGATTAATAGTAGTGCAGATTTAGTAAATAATTTGACAGCGTTGAGGGAATTATTTGTTTAGCGGAATGATGGCGTTTGGGAAAAAACTGCTCTTGTTCTGGGGTGCAGTGCTCTATAGCATCGTTTTGAAGGTAGGAGTTGAAACAGCTCATGTCCAGGATGTGAGGGGTCTGTAAATATTTTCACAGTCCTCTTTTTGACTCGTGCAGTATACAGGTCCTCAATGGAAGGCAGGTTGGTAGCAATTGTTTTTTCTGCAGTTCTAATTATCCTCTGAAGTCTGTGTCTGTCTTGTTGGGTTGCAGAACCAAACTAGACAGTTATAGAGGTGCAGATGACAGACTCAATAATTCCTCTGTAGAACTGGGTCAGCAGCTCCTTGGGCAGTTTGAGCTTTCTGAGGAATAGGAATAGAATAGGATGAGCTGGAAGGGACCTTGGAGGTCTTCTAGTCCAGCCCCCTGCTCAAGGAGGAGAACCTATAGCATTTCAGATGAGTGACTATCTCGACTCTTCTTAAAAACCTCCAGTGATGGAGCGCCCACAATTACTGCAGGCAAGCTGATCCACTGGTTAATTGTGCTCACTGTTAGGAAGTTTCTCCTTACTTCCAGGTTGCTTCTCTCTTCAATTAGCTAGATTCCAATTTCCAAGTGGAGGGGAAGGGATGATTGGCATGGGAGTAGGAGGAAAGGTTCCTGCCCGAGAAAGTTGGCATCTCCAGAGGCAGCAGTCTCTCCATCTTCCTCTCCTTCCTGTCCAAGGACCATCTCTGGAGATGGTTCCTGGACAGTTTAGTGTCATCTGAAAATTTGATGAGTTCCCCTTCTATTCCTTCATCTAAGTCATTTATGAAGATATTGAAGAGTACTGGGCCTAAGTCAGAACGTGGTGGTACCCCACTACTTACTTCTCTCCATGTGGATGTAGTATCATTAAGGACTACTCTTCGAGTACGGTTTGTCAGCCAGCTTCAAATCCATCTGGTGATGATGTTGTTCATTCCACATTTTTCTAGCTTTCCAAGTGGAGGGGAAGGGATGATTGCAGTGGTGGGATTCAAGTAATTTAACAACCGGTTCTCTGCTCTAATGATTTCTTCCAATAACCAGTTCACCAAACTGCTCAGAAAGTTAACAACTGGTTCTCCCGAAGTGGTGTGAACTGGCTGAATCCCACCACTGGATAATTGGCATGGGAGTAGGAAGAAAAGGTTCCTGCCCAAGAAAGGCGGCATCTCCAGAGGCGGCAGTCTCTCCATCTTCCTCTCCTTCCTGTCCAGGAATCGTCTGTGGAGATGGAGAAAATCTCTCTGGAGGATTTGAAATTGCTTCCCTCAATAACAGTTGCACTGAAGTATTCAGAGATTGGAGGGGGGCCTCAAACAGAGCCAAATCCTGTCAGAAACAGGCAAACGGTCAGAAGACGTGGACTCTCTCTGTGAAGCACAATTTGTATCTTGCGCTTGTTGCAAACTCCAAACTGAAGGCGAGTAAGATGGGGCTGAAGAGACACAGGCAGGGAAGACACAATCATAAGGTGACCAGTCGTCCTCTAGGGAGTACAGTCCTTCTTTTGTAAGTTCTATACTCTCTCAAAAAGCGTCCTCCTACATGTCCTCCTTTTCGATATTTGAAGACTAATCTGTATTTGATTGATGCTGATACGATGCATGTGATGTGATATATTTGTATTTGACATGACGATTTGTCAAGGCTCATACATTGTGGCAAGACGCGATTATGAGACACATGCACATCGCACAGAATTGTTTTGAGTGTGCTGTGTGCAAGAGTGTGCTGTGCGCAAGTGGCTTTATTTACCGTAACACGACATAAAACACATGCACGCATTAGACTCGTTGTTGCAATGAATAAAACCTTTTATTTATATTTTTTTTCTTCAATTTATTTGTGTCCTCATTGTAAAAAAGGTTGACTCAGCCTTCCATCCTTTCTAAGGTAGGTAAAATGAGGACCCGGTTTGTTGGGGCAATAAACTTTGTATAAAATATACAAAAGTATGAAGGCTATTGCTTAACGCATTGTAAGCTGCCCCGAGTCTCCGGAGAAGGGTGGCATATATATAATATATAATAATATATATATATAAATTATATATATATATAAATAAAAATGTTGGTCACCTTACACAATCAAGAAAATGGAGATTTCTATCGTGTGTTTGTTCTCTAGTTCTGTATATACAAATTCTTGGCTCTGGGTGCCTAAAAATAATCAGGAAGACTCACGGAGTAGCTGCTTATGACAAAAGAAATGATTCTGATGAAAAAGAAAACCAATTCCATAATGGGGAAAAGCTGAAACTTGTGGAAGTTCCAGAAATTTTACCTCACAATGAGGCTACTTGGAGGACAAAGGAAGCAGGGCTGGGGGCTGGGAATGACATCTCATCTGTGACTGGAAAAAGAGGGGGAACTGCAAAATAATGGAAACAGATTATGGAAAAGAGAATATAAAATTAAAATACCATGAGGGGGCAAAAAACACACAGGAGATACGAATAGGAAACTTAACACCTTTCTAGAATTTAAGACAAGGATAGGATATCTCCAGATCATGAATAAAAAGTACAATTGGTGTCTAACTTTGGATGACTGCTACTCCGATTTCCATTTCTCTAAAGAAAAATTGCACAATAACTTACAGAAAACTGGAATTGGTGCCTTTTCTCCATCTTGACATAGAATCATCCATGGGTACTATTTGAAGAAATAGCTTCAGCCCAGGAGGAGCCTCTGAAATGCAGATGTTTCTCCCCCACCCAAATCCTTCCTAATTCTTTTTTCCAAAAAGAATTGTTAGGGCTTTTCTGATTATGGTAAATAGATGCAAAGACAGCATTTGTTTTTGCATAAAAACCTTTATTAGACACACTTAAAACTCCTACTTGTAATTTTAATGCTAACCGCCCCTTGCTAATTTTAATCTATTACCCACAGGTTAGTAACTATTTCTCTCTTACTTGACCTATCTATTTCTATCTCTATCTCCTTTCTCTATGTTTACATATGAAAACCCTTTTTGCTCCTCTAGATTTGCCAAGGAACGCCAAAGGTACTTTTTCAAAAGGCAACTGGACTTTCTATTTTCTTGAAGATGTTTCGCTTCTTAGCCAAGGAGCTTCTTCAGTTTTGAAGAAGCATCTTCAGATGTTTCTTGAATGAGAAGCGAAATGTTTTCAAGAAAACACAAAGGAAATCCAGTTGCCTTTTGGAAAAGTACCCTTGGAACAAACATGATCTGGATGTACGAGAATCTCTACATGTTTCTTTTATTTCTTTTATATAGGCCCAATAATCAGAATGCAAGACATGAGAACATAAACAGTATTTATTTCTTTGTTTCTAGTGCAGGAGATCATCAGGCAAGGCAAGGCAACTGTCCAGGACATCAGAATATATGCACAATAGGAGGAGTCAAATGGTAAGGAGGAGTTAGTGGGTGGAACAATTGATGTATAGATGGTTAACCCTTACATGACTTTAAATATGTACATATAGTTAGGTATTTTCAATGTGCAACACTACAGGTGTTTGTCAAGGGGTTACTTCTCTCCTCCTCCTCAATCATAATCCTCTATTACTGGAGCTGCTGTGAGGAATTTTGCACCCTGACTGGCTGCATGAAGCCCACCACCCTTGATTTTCACACTGGAAGGTCTCATTCTTTTCTTGAGATTCGTCCAGCTTTCCCCATCTCTACAAAAACCTCCGGTGAAGGGACTGCAACTCTTGTGTACAGAACCATTGATATAAATTTACATTAAGTGTAGAGTTTTTCTTAGTCCTAATCACAGAAAGGCAAAATATGGTCCTAATGCTTGGAAAGTTTTGCACATGCTTTTCAGGGCCTTGTCATTCTGGCTTTTTGTGAGGAATTCTTTATCCTAAAACTTTCTTCACATTCGAATTTGTTACAAGGTTGGTGGATCAGGCCCAATGAAGAGACTTGAGTCATTATATAAAATATCTTTCTTTTATTTGCAGGTTCATCATATCATCATTT